CACTGTCCCCTGAAAGGGAGGGGCCTCAGAGGCTGCGAAACTCCCTCTTTTCCCACGTTTTGTTCCCCACTGGCTCATGGCAGAGACCCCTCTCCCTGTCCTGGCCCCTTGTCTGTGAGTGCCGCCCTCTAACCTCTGATCTGGGTTTGCAGGAAAATGCCCAGGACTGTGGTGGCGCGTCGGACACCTCGGCCTCCCTGCCCCTGCTCCTGCTGCCTCTGTGTGCCTGGGGATTACCAGCCCAGCTCCTGCGGTGACGTCCCCCATCTGGCCTCTGTTTTGGCAACAGAGACGCTCGAAACAGTCAGCCCTGATGGTCAGGGTGTCACCCAGGCCCAGCTCCTCTCAGTCCTGAGCCAATGGTCCCGGCCTGGACGGAACAAGAATCCAACCTTCCAGAGCCACTTCCCAAAGACGCTCCAGGGTGCCTGAGACCCTCCGCCCAGGTCCCGGTGGGCATCCTTCTGTCCTTCCTGCCTCCTCTTTGGGAAACCAGCATGAGCTCAGCTTGGACCAAGACAAAAGCATGGAATCTGCCTGTGCTCTAGACATCCAGACCCAGCCACAAAAGGGTCGGCTATTTTGAATGAAGGAGAGTGGTCTCTATGAGAACCCGCGGACTTCTGGGTGCCAAGAAAGGAATAGGATGAAGTCAGCGGCAGAGACGAGGCTATACAGAATGGGGCCCCCCTGAAAGCTGGATTCCCCAAGTGAGAGTCACAGTAAGGGCAGCTCGCTTTCCTAACCACTGCTCAGACAACGTGTGTCTGTCTGTGTGTGTGTGTGTGTGTGTGTGTGTGTGTGTGTGTGTGTGTGTGAGAGAGAGAGAGAGAGAGAGAGAGAGAGACAGACAGACAGACAGAGAGAGAGAGAATGGAAAAGACTTAGAATAGAAACAGGTATTAAATCCTTTTAGGAAGCGTCAACATAGCTCCCTGTGATGCCCTCAAACGGCTGCTGTTAAAGAACTTCTAAAAACTTATTTTAAAATCCCCAACTTAAAGGAAATTTTGCATCAAATAAAAAGCCAGCAGCCAGATGTGCTGCTGCATTTGGAAAATGATGTGCATTCAAGAGACATGACAAAAATGGTTGCAGCCAAGGGGAGAGGTCCCAGTGAAAAAGAGAGGTCCTTGTGACGTTTTCTGGCCACTGAGTTACAAAGAAAACTACATGACTCTGTCCCTGGGTTGAAATCCTTGGAGTTAGAACTTTGGGAAACATTCCAGTTTGCAAAGCAGAGTCAGCTGGGGAGGGGACTCTATGCAGGAACTTACCCCTGGCACACATGCGTGCGCGTGCGCACACACACACACACACACCCCTCCCAAGGGACAGCAGTCTCCACTGTGGGAGCAACATTAAGGGCAGAGCCATGTAGAAATCCTGTAGTAGTCTCCGGTCTCCCAGCTAACCAACTCCAGCACAGGCGGGGCGTCGAGGATCCTTCTTCCCACTCCTCCGCCACCCTCCACACCCCAAAGTCCAAGCTCTTCAAGTCTCCCACCAGCCATCAGCCTTAACTTCCCTCTAGAGTTGGCCAACTCCATAAAAACATGCTCCTTGTCATATTTGCCAAGTGCCTTACATTAGAGATTATACAACATCACTTCTACCGTCATTTACATCTCACAACAATCCTGTGAGCAGGTATTCGTGCCCCCTTGACAGCAGAAAATATTGAGGCTCGGAGAAGCCAGCTGAAGTGGCAGAAAATGCCAATCATAGCTAAGGCTTACGTGTACCAAGTAAATAACATGCGCCAACTCATTAAAGTCTCACAACAACCCTAAGGTTGTTACTATGACTAGTTCCATGTTACAGACCAGGAAACTGAAGCAGAGATGAAAATTGGCTCTAAATTATTGGCAGAGTAGTGTGAGATGGGACGTGATATATTCGTACAACATGCCTGAAACTTCCTGGCATACAGTAAGCACTAAATACATGTTAGCTGCTATTATTACATTACCTTGTTTCATGGATGTGGGGACAAAGAAATTACCATTTAGATGCCAGGAATAATAGGCAAAAGTCAACAGGTGTCCAGCAAGCTCAAGCAGACTAAGAAAGCAGCAGAGTGCCCTCTCTCCAGCCCCCTTGGCTGCCGTCGCTGTGTCCCCACGACGTGTCACGAAGTCCCACTTGTGACAGGCACAGAAGAATGAACACTTCCCAACTCCGGCCAAAGCCCATGGCCACCCACCCGCTGTTCTCGGGCATGAACACATGTTCCGATCTCCGATAGCATTTGATCTCAGTGACTCAAGGCACTGACTGATAGTCTCTCCAGGACAATAGTCCAGTGTTGTCTTTTTGGAGTCAGGGTCTCACTGTCACCCAGGCTGGAGTGAGTGCAGTGGCATGATCACAGCTCACTGCATCCTTAAACTCCCTGGCTGAGGTGGACTCAAGACCCTTCCACCTCAGCCTCCTGAGCAGCCAGGACTACAAGATCATGCCACCACTAATTTTTTGATTTTTTTTGTAGAGACGAGGTCTCACTATGTTGCCCAGGCTGGTCTCAAACTCCTGAGCTCAAGCAATCCTCCCAGCTCTGCCTCCCAAAGTGCTGTGCTTTACAGGCATGAACCACCGCGCTGGTCGTGTTGTCTTTTGGAAGGCCTGTCTTCTCCACTCAGCCAGGAAGAGCATGTTCAGGTAAATTTACCAACTCTTAATAAGCCAAGCTTAGAAAGTGCTGGGACAGCTCCTGATCTCGTCCACTCCACTGGGGACCCTCAACTCTGCACAGTCAACGGTGAACTGTAAGTTTTGGAAACCCTTTACTGACCAATGGAAGGAGAAACCACTTCTGATAAACTACCCCTGCTCTTCTCAACTTTGGAGAATACTCTTCTAAGTTTTGCCTTTGAAGGTCACAACTATTTTTTTTTTTTTTGAGTTGTCACTCCGTCGCCCAGGCTGGAGTGTAGTGGCATGCTCACAGTCACCAGCGTTAACCTGCTGGGCTCAGGCAATCCCTCCGCCTCAGCCTTCCAAGTAGCCGGAACTATAGGAGCGCACTATCATGCCCAGCTAGTTTTTTGATTTACTGTAGAGATGAGGTCTTGCCAAGTTGCCCAGGTTGTTCTCAAATCCGTGGACTCAGGCAATCCCCTCACCTTGGCCTCCCAAAGGACTGAGATTACAGGCTTGAGCTACCATTCCTGGCTCTCCTTTCTTTTAACAGAATCACTCAAGGACAGCAGGTGGCAGTCTGGTTCACGCAAAAGAGCCATCACCTTGATTTCCGAAGAGCCAGATTGGAACCTAAGTCAGAATTTTAAATGAAACCTCTTTTCTTATCAATGTTGGACGCTTTTGGAGGACCAAGAGCTTAAGGATGCTGTCGGATCCTCCTTCCCCAGTACTAGGGACACATGAACTACTAAATCCACCTAGACACTGTGTGGATTTTAATAGCAGTGCTTTCAGGTAAACATGCTTCCACAACCACTTAACTTCATGATACTAGCTCGTTTCAGTTCAGGAGGGCAAGGGAGTGGGCATATCTTATGGTCAGAAAGTAAATACGGGGCTGGGGAAACTCGAAGTCCACAAAAGGAAGGAGCTAAGCAAGTATGGCCGAAATGCTAGCCAATCCCTATGGGAAGTCTGAGAAAAAACTGATCAGCCAAGAGTCACAGCATCTCGGTGAGGAATACAGATGTAACAGTGGCCCCGTTTCAATGGAACACTGAGGCGAGAGGCGAAAACGGCTTCTTGCCTGTGTTCCACGGCAAATGGCAGAACTGGGATCTGAAGTTGCCCCTTTTCACTTCCGGGCTAGCGTAGGCAGGGATGTTAGGATGGCCGTGTCTGGGCTGCATGAACACTATTTCTTGCTATGCGCTCCCCCACCCCCACCCCCCCATGCCATCCAACGCCTACACAAGTGAGCCAGACTGGCCTTGTTTTAGCCGAGTCAAACAGTTGAAGCAGAAAAGATTTGTACATTAGACAGGACATGGGGAGAGGTGAGCAACTAGGTCATACTCTCTGAGGGAAGATTGGAATGGAACATGCCGCAACTGAAGCAGAACATTCAAGGAAAGGATGCCGATTCTGGGGGTAATTTTAAAGTAACACGCTCAGAAGTTTCTCCAGTGCACCCTGAGCCCTAGCATTCAGTAACCCCAAATTCAAATGTGTCCTTATCTATTTCCTCTACAGTTTAATAGGACGTCACCCAAGTAACTAGAACTATACAGACAGCTTTAAGCAAGAGCCTATGAAAAAACAAAGTAGGTTATTCAGAGGCCTTGGCTTGTTTTTTGGCAAAAGATGTGGCCCAGTGTTCTATACCCGGATAATGTATAGGAAACCCTACAGTCGTATCTGTATTTGTAAATGAGAAATCAGAATGGAAAGATGATCCCAATACTGGAAACTTTCCTGTAAAAATTAAATGTACCTAAGGGCAAAAAGGTCAGAATTTCCTCTTCTAATAAAGAAGGGACCAGGTTAACAAACCCCCAAAATTTCAAGTCAACAGACATGAGACTTGTCTAACCAGAATAATAAATTCAAGTACAGGGAGAGCAATTTTCTCCCCAAATTGTCTTTTCATTCTTTTCTCCAATGAAGGATGCTGGCACTAGAGTCAGACTTAAATTATCTAAGCTTGCTTCCTCATCTATAAAATGAAATGAAACTACTACTAGCATGCAGGCTTACTATTATGGTCATGAGATCAATAACTCCTAAATGCATCCTTTGACATGAAGTGTTCATTACATCAGGCATCATTTTAATAAACATTAATGGTCAATTCAGAACGCCCCTTCCATTCCTGGTCCCAGTTACCATGCAAGCATTAGAGTTAGGAAAAGTGAGCAGGGTGGGTGTACAAACTTTGATCTGTGCAAGCAGAATGGGACGTTTCTGAAAGTCTCTTCGATGTCAGTGTCTAAATTAGGGCTTCAAAGAAGTGCCAAAAGCTAAAGGGGGGTGGGGGGAGCAGAAAAGACAATTAAAAAAATACAGCAAAGGTTCATAATTCCATTTGGTTGCTTTTATTAGAAGAAATTGAGAATACAGCAAGTAGGGAAATCCCACATGAATGGAACTATCACAACAAATGCCTTTCATGAACCTCAACCTTCTATGATCCCCAAAAATGTGCTTTGTGGCTTTAGCAATTTATAAAGGGGAAGGGGGAAAATACTGAAAAGGCCACTATTTAATGGTGAAAGAATGAAGCTGTAGAGGTCCTAACCAGCCTAGGGCCAAAAAAGAAAATTAAAAATTTGCACAGAGCAAGCAAGCCTCTGACTGCTGAGAGTAAGGCATTCAGGCACCAACCTGGTGAGAGTTCTCAGCGAGCACTGCGAGATCAAGTGCACATCGAGGCTGTTGGTAGTGAGCTGCACGTAGACACACACGGAAATGGGCACACGTATGCCCACACACACACACACCCGAGAGGGAGATGTTGACTGGATTACACATTGGTGAAGTTAATTTCACTTGTCCTAAGGGTTTGTGCTATGTTGAACCAGAGTCTTCCAGCTGTGGGCGTGGGTGACTGGGCCAGAGCCTGCTATCCCCGCTGGTGGTGTTACCGGGCTGCACCCTGTACCCTGTACCCCAAAGTGCATGACCAAAGAGCAAGGCTGGCTTCTGATACGTGCTGTTGCTCCCATGAAACTAAGTGCGCGTCCACCCAGAGGGCCACCGTCCTGCTGGACTATATATTCTCAAAGGGATTAATACTATTCTTCAGAATTCTGTCAGGCACTGCACCAGTTCACCCACTGTCTTTTGCTCGGTCTACCTAGCACCCAGGGCAGTGACCTTATCCAGAACCAAAATACTCTTAAGTTCTTCCCAACTTCTACACTGGAGTCTTTCTTCATGGATCCCAGCTTTTACTGGAGATTGGAAGGGGAAGAAGGGAGAAAAAGATCTGAGAAGACTCTGCTGAATAAATAAAGAGACCCATATCCCCAATACCCACTGAGGATACCAGCCCCTATGCTTAGGGCCTCAAGGTTTAGTTCTAATACAGTCCCCAGGATGTAATGGAGCCACCCCAAGTCTTTGATGACAGCAACCTAAGACTCGGGTGCTATTTTTGGTGGTTCACCAGGAGGCCAGATCAGAATTCTGTGAACCAGATACTTCCCCCACCACTCTCTCCCTGACCCCACAAGATAACCCTGCAACATAAGCAATTGTTTAGCACTTCTAGCAGCAATTCAAAGCCAGGGCTCTAAGGATTTTGGCAGACCCCCTGGCAATGACATACCATTTCCTTTAAGCTTTGCACCATGCTGGCAGCTCCACAGTGGGTACTAGACCTGGCTTTACAAGAGTTCTGCTGGCTTTCTTGTTCAATGAGTGCTGCAGTGTCTGTCACACCTAGGCTTACCAAGACTGCGTGCCAGAGGTGAAACTCATCTTTTCTAATCCAACGGAAGGGTCTCCCGGCCTATGTACTGAGCTCAAAAGAAACCTGGACAAGACAGAATCTCATTTCTGGCCACCTCCATGCCAACTATGATGTCAGGGAAAGGTCCATGTGTATTCCCAGGAAGAGGAAGGGTAGTTAGGGCAGTGGTTTTCAACAGAAGGAAGTATGCAGGGTGTTACAGAGCTCCACAGTGAGGAGGAGGAAAACTCACACCGCTCTTACAAGAGTTACCACAAAATTGAGCAGAATGCCAGGAAGTGATCAGATAAGCCCATGCTAACATTTCCTGAGCCCTTCCACCATCCCCACCACCTTTACCAGCATAATGGCAGAAGCAGGTGGCTCTCCTCCACAGAAAGAGTAAGGGTCACTACCAACCTCAAGTCAGCCTCAGATGACACCTTAACTAGAGCCTTTATCTAACACACACTGCCAGCTATGTGTGTGCTGCTTCCCCGGAGAAAACACATACTACTTCCCTCGACCTCGGGACTCCCACAGGCTCCCAGGCTTGACAACGGTCAGTGACCACTGCGCTGGGGCTGTGCTCTGCCCCACCAGAGTCCAAGGTGTGTTGGCCTTTAAAGGCACCTTGGTGAACCAAGACACTGTACACTCCGGGGCTATCACCTGATCCTCCTTCAGTCACTTTGTGCAAAATTGAAACAGTGTGTGGTACTTGCATGTTTCATTCTATACAAAATTCTCCCTCCCTCCCCTACCCTATGTTTTAAACATTTATAGAAATTCTTATTGAAACGGTAAGTTAGAAATCTTATTTACACTACTGTCTGTGTTCTCCCAAAAGAGCATCTAAAATCACACTCCCACCCCTTAATTGGATATAAATGTCCACCTACATTGGTTTGTATTATCATCCTAAGGAGAGAGAGAGGGAGAAGAAAGAACCACCAGCTCCACTGTTTCCCCATCTTTGACAAATAAATATGATACGGAGCAGAAGCCAGCTTGTCAAGGGTCTTGCAGAGCCCTTAATCGGTAGATCCCAAGAACAAGCCAGGGTTTGGGCTATTTCTCCTTTTCTCCAAATTGATGCACTTCGTCCTTTGAGGTATGATTTATTTTTTTCTCTTCTCAGTCACGTACCACATGGAGCCCCTGGGCTGTCACAAAGCCCATGAGGCTGTCAAAGTTTTGGGGCTCCTCTGGTACTGGCATCAATGGCCAGCGGGGAGGCCCGCAGGTGTTGCAGGCCCTGGGTCAAGGTCACAGTCCCTGGCTATGGGTAGGTATCACAGTGCATCCTCTTCACTGCAGCCCCCGCCAATCATGAAACGGAATTCCTGGAGGTTTGAGACACCATGGAAGTGAACGAAAGCTCCAGCAACCACGAAGATATGAAACAGCTGATGAGAGTGAAACTGGAGGGAAAAATAAAAGAGAACTCCATTATTAAGACGCTAAAGATTCTCAGGATCATTTAGTTCTGGTTTCTGCTAAGCACAAGGTAGGGAATGGATGTGACAGAGCTCAAATTCAAGGTGCCCACAAATCCTGGACCATCCGTTAGGCATATCACATTCTGCTGAGTTGAAAGCCAGCTCTCCCCAAAGAAATAAAGGTGCTGCTCCTAAGTTCTGGCCCTGAAAGGGTGCCCACATAACATTGGAACCAGTGACAAGTGATGTACAGACTCTTGCCAACTGGTCACAAAGGTCCTGAGAATCCCCTGACTAGCTGTGGACTAGGATTAGACACACAGGCATTTCCCTACTCACTGCTGAAGGACATTTTGTCATGGACAAGAGTAATAGAACCATGGTCATTTAAATGTTGTTCTGTTAGAAAAACTAAAGACATTTCAAGGATTGGGCAGAAGGTCACAACCTAAGGCCCTTGGAATTTCCTCCAGCTCTATGAGTCTGGAATTGCATTAACAACACAGTACACCAAAAACCTAGCCCAAGAGAGCCTTTTACTTCCATCTCAAGTCAGAAGCTGGTCTACAAGCACATGATATTATTTCTAATTTTACTTTTACTGTTAAATGCTACTTCACATCCAAAGAAACATAATCAATTGCTCAGCACACTAAATATCACTTCAAAAATCAAATTTTCTCACTATACTCTCAAAATGAAGAAGTATAGTGGCAAAGCAGTATTTATCAAGGGAAAGACACCGACTTTAGAAGTGTAAACTAGGTTGGCCAGGTTTCGTGGCTCAGCCTATAATCCCAGCACTTTGGGAGGCCGAGACAAGTAGATTGCCTGAGCCTGTGGGGTTCGAGACCAGCCCGGGCAACTTGGCAAGACATCATCTCTACAATAAATAAAAAATTAGCCAGGCATGGTAGCACATGCCTGTAGTTCTGGTTACTTGGAAGGCTGAGGCAGAAGGATCACCAGAGCCCAGCATGTTGATGCAGGGGTGGCCGTGAGTGGCCACTGTATTCTAGCCTGGGCGACAGGGTGAGACTCCAACTCAAAAAAAGAAGTGTAAACTAGAAGAAATCAAAAGTCACATCCCAGGAGATGTTTCCTAGGAAACCAAAGAGGATTCATTTTCCCCGAAAAAGGGGGGGGATTAGTAAAAATCATACAGATGTCAAAGATTATGATGAAGTTATTATGTCTCAGAAAGAAAGATGAATTAGCTAATTTGAAGCTGGAAGGACGGCTTGAGTTCAATATTATCATCATTTTACAGATAGCTAAACTAAACTTTGAGAAATTAGATGATTGGTTTAGTCTGTAATAATCAGCAACAGGCTAAAAACAGAATTTCAGAGGTCAGATTTCACATTAAGCAACATTCCAATTCTGTATTGTTGAAAACGTTTCAGGCCCTCTTCAGTTACATCTTCCAGCCGTGTGAGTCCCCTATATTTTCTTTTTCCCTTTCTCTTGCCATTAGCCACAGTCCAGGCATCTGTCCCTCCCCTTCCAGTCAGATATACATATACTCAGTCTCTCACTACAATCAGTGATTTGTGATATCAAAAATGACCTTGGTAGAAATCTGTTCCTAAAAAGGACTTTGGTAAAAAGTTGGCCCATCACTCTTATTTCATAAACAAGGAGACCGGGACAAAGACTAATGAAGTGACTTTCACTTGTAGTGTAGTGAACAGGAGCACAGATTCTCCTATTAAGACTAGCCTGATTCAAATTCGGTTCTACCAGTTAATAGCCACATGCCTTAGACAAGTGGCCTAACCTCCTTAAGCCTTAGTTTCCTGATCTGTAAAATGAAGGCATTAATAATAGTTATTATACCTTATAGGGCTAATGTATTAAATGCAGTAATCCATGCAAAGAACTCTGTACTGTGCTGAGCACCAAGGGAGTCCTCACTAAATGTTAATTGTTACTGTACCTAGGGGCTGGAGAAACTCAGCTAGTTAGGAACAGAGTTAGGACTGGAATGCAAGTCTTCCAACTTTGAGTCTAAAACTTTTTTCAACTGCATCACTCCACAGTATGCCAATAACCCATGAGCAGATAGATATGTACACACAATCACCCTGATATGCTTACCCAGATGTCACATTTGCCAGGAAAGAAGCGTTCAGGGATCCGGGCAGCATACAGGGCAGCTCCTGTGATGTAGAGACTGGCCATCAACAGCAACCAGCCTATTTGCCCAATGGTGGCAGCCTTCAGGAATCCCTCCGAGATGACGTAGTGCAAGGTAGGAATGATTCCACTCAGACCTAGGCCCAAGAACACTCCTAGAAACCACAAGAAAAGAATAAAGTAAAAATGCAGAAGAGAAATAAGGAAGAAGTCAACGCGGTAGCACAGTACCATTAACTCTGTAAACTGAGTATTTCAAAGTAAGATGCAAAATTAGCTTCTTGTTTTAAAGAAAAAGAAGGTTCTTCAAACTCTGGGACAGTCCCACAAGACAACACAGCTATATTCTAAAGCTCTATTTACAAATGCAGGGAGCCTCCTGCTAAGAGAGGTTTAGCTTAGTAAGTCAGCAGTCTTCAAGGGTTTAGAATTATGTTGCTAAGTGTTTTAGGAAAGGACTGTAGGAGTTGGTTTAAACCACCCGAAGTGCTGCCCTTTTACAGACACAGATTAAAATACAGCGCAATTTTACATGCTATCTTCTCCTTGAAGCAACAGATATTGCTGGGGTGGGGCTGGCAATGAATGATCATATCAGCTGGGGAGGTAGGTGATGCATAAAATTAAAATACTATTAATAGTAATCTAAATCATGACCTATAATTGGGCACTTAAATTTTTTTAAATGCCCTTAACAAATGACCTAACTACCTAACTGGAGGGGTGGAGGGAAATACTGTAGTGAATAAGATGAAAAATAGAAAGAGAGAAAGGCATGTGCTTCTGAAAGCTCCCAGGCCTCACAAGTACAGAAGTCTGTCGGAATCACTGAGCCACAGCCCTAATGCCTTCAAAATCATCTACAGCAGTATTTTTCCAAACTTCTAGATATGACCTAGGTTCTAAGATCAAACTGGGTCTCAACTAGCATTTTTTTAAAATGAACTAGAATAAAATAAATACCAGACTGTGTCACAGGTGTAGGGTTAAGTACTATTTTGTAAAAGTTTTGTAATTTACATACTCGTATACATGAACATATGGATATACACACACGTTTAAGATTGTAGCAGAAAATGTCATGATCAAAAAAAGTTTCAAGTTCACTGATCTAAAACCACTTTGAAACCTGTATGTCAACCAAAGCAACACAGAATTCGTCGCCTCAGTCAGTAACTGCTCCTACATTTGGAAGCAGTATTAGGAGTGACTCTTGCAAATTTGGTAAGCTTTCTCAACAGAAAAGGAGCCTATTACTTGCTCTGAACATTACCAAATAAGCTTCTGGTACACAGCAATATATGCAGGCACATACACAGGATGCATATTCACAAATAAAATGGGAATCTCAAAGAGAAGAGGGAAATGGCAAGTGCTGACCTCACAAGAGACAGGAAGCAAGCAGGCCTAAAGAATGATTTCCTACCTCCACTCCTCTAAAAAAATGATTATGATCCTATTCTTCCACTTGCTACTTGACATGCTAAGCAAGGGCACTAATGGTTTTACCTATCATTCTTTAAGTCAAAGGCTCAGGAATGTGGTTCTTCTGATGTGTTTGAATAGTGGAATGCTCAGCTCCACTCAGCAAAGACAATCTTATCTCACGTGCTCAAAAAGGCTTAACGCCACAGTATTCCTGAAGTATACTGAAAGCCAACCCTGATCACCGTTCACCTGCACATATGAACACTTAAGGAAAAGAACAGTTGTTGTAACAATGGTCACTAATGAAGTTACTTCCACTTCTAACCTAGGTAACTGCAGATGATCTAGGGCTTGTGTTTTAATGCCAAATGGTTTTTTGTTTTGTCTTAAGGAAAAAAGAAGGATGAAAGGAAAAATAACTCTTAATATTGCTTATTCATTCTCAGTAGGCACTGGATTTGACACTGAATATAAAATTGAAGACACAGTCCTGGCTGCAAGAAGTCCCCAGTCCAGTGGGAGACAAAAACATCTCTGCTACTTCCATAATATTACAAGGAGGCCCAACCAAGGCACTGAGGAACTGCTGGTTTTGCATGTGATCTCCAGCTAAGCAGGCATTATCATAAATGTATAAAGCCCCTTTATCCTTACATCAGAAGACAGAAGAGATGCATGGTGCCTCTTGAACAGAACATAATCAATATGAAGACGAAGTCACACAGATTCAATAAAAACATAAAACAAAACAACAAAAGACTCAATCACCACAAACAGAATACTCCGAGCTGAAAGAGTGAGACAAATGGCTTACTTGACCATAAACAACACTCCCAAATATATCACCTCATGCTCACCACTGCCCCTCGATCCTAATGCCTTAAGACAACTCATAGACACTAGTACTATTACTAGAGTAAAAGTCCTTCAACAACATATTTGCATCACAAATACATCATATAATGCTTGGCAAATGGCAGAGCTTTAATAAATGCCTAGTGAATAAATGAATGTTGATTGCAGAACCTCCACATGCACTTACCTGCTCTTACTCCACGGTACTGAGGGGTGGCAAACATGTCCCACTGGGAGACTATAATGGCTGCAATGCCCAGCACACAGATGACAATCAAGTAGATGAAGCAAGGTTGTGGATTACAGTAGAAAGAATAATAAAGCCAAGGAACAAAACTTCCCATAATCAGAAGAGCAATACCAGAGTAGTCCAGTCTAGGAGAGAAAAAAAAATCATTTAATGCAGTAATTTTTAAATTACTGACTACCATAGGTCCCACTTAATCCCCAAAGACACGAGCTATTACCAATAGCTAAGAGACAACCTGGGATGCTCTTTAACTTTAAAAAAAACTCCCATCAGATGGTATTAAGAATTCTGCCACCTCTGCTGGATTTTTTCCCTAACCTACTACCTCTAAATCAGTGATCAAAATATTGACTTTGGCTGGGTGCAGTGGCTCATGCCTGTAATTCCAATATTTGGGGAAGCTGAGGCAGGAGAATAGCCCGAACCCAGGAGTTCAACACCCGCCTGGGCAACACAGTGAGACCTCATCTCTACAAAAAAAATTGTTAAAAATTAGCCAGGCTTGGTGGCAAACACCTGTAGTTCCAGCTACTCAGGAGGCTGAAGTGAAAGAATCACTTGAACTCAGGAGGTCAAAGGCTATATAGTAAGCCATGATTTGTGCCACTGCATCCCAGCCTGGACAAGAATGAGACCCTGTCTTTAAAAAAAAAAAAAAAAAAAGGACGACTTTACAGATACTTACTTAGAGAAGAGACGGGAGACCCCTTCTGAGTGGCAGTAGACTGTGTGGAAGAGCCATGAAAAAGAAAGGCAGAGAATGGCTCCTAAGAAAAATAACCCAAAGACCACCTTCTCCTGCAGAGGAGCCACAAAAGAGATGTTTGGGCGAAACATATAAAAGATCCCCAGGCACAGGAAGAATACACAACCTACGAAAAGAGTACAGGAGACAGATAAAACATCATCCTTTTGAACTCCTGGGCTGTTACATACCGATTCTGTTTCCAATCCTTCATAATTGCAATAATAACTGAATGGAAGTTCCATGAGAACACAGAAGCTTATCGAAAATTTTGGTTTACTTCCAACATTGTTGGTATCATATATACTTCAGCTTCTTACACTGGGTTTACAGAATATAATAATTTATTTGTCTGAGGGCATAATCTGAAAAAAAAAGCAGACAATGCTGCTACTTCTTAGAAGACTAAGCCGGGTTCGGTGGCTCAGCCTGTAATCCCACGTCTTTGGGAGGCTGAGGTGAGTGGACTGCCTGAGCCCGTGGGTTCGAGACTCGCCTGGGCAGCGAGACCTTATCTCTAAAATACATCAAAAAATCAGCCGGGCATGGTAGCGCATGCCTGTAATTCCGGCTACTGGGAAGGCTGAGGCGGAAGGATCACCGGAGCCCAGCAGGTTGAGGCTGCGGTGGCCGGGAGCCGCCACTGCACTCCAGTCTAGGTGACAGAGTGAGACTCCAACAAAAAAAAAAAAGAAGAAGAAGAAGACTAAATGAGTTCACCTCTACCTTTAGATCTAGATTGAAGTTTCATTTATAAAGTTTTTGGCACATACATACAGCTCAATTTTCAAAGGTCCGTTGTGCTTTTGCTTTTGTTTTTGCAATAAATTCCAATACCTCTAAACCTTGCCAAGAAATACAGCTTTCCTCCACCAACAGCTATCAAAGAGTATTATGCTGTTTCTCCTGACCAGTTGGTATCCTGATCAGTTGGTCCAGCAGATTCAACAGTTAAAGACAGTAAAATACCTACTCAGGCCATTTCCTAACCAGTGCTTAAATGGTTCTCCACGATAAGATACCATGTTCCCACTGCTTAGGGAAGGGATACTCAACATAAGGAAGGTTCAGAAATTTAGATGTTAAAAATTTGCTAAGTGATTTATCATTTAATTTAAAAAGTACCCTTGAGTTAGAAGTCAGCAACAAACTTGATTTCTCTATTCTACTCTCCCTATATTAGCAGGCAGGACCTTGGAAACACTGTGGAAATAAAATGTGTGATAAGAAATTCAAGTCAAATGGAACAAGGTCACAAACTTCTTAGTGTATTCACAAGGTTGTACAACCATTTCATTACATTTCTCAAAATATCTGATTTGTAGACTAACAATAATAAACTTCTTTCACATGCATATGGGCCATTTGTAGATCTCTGGGGAAATGTCTACTCAGATGTTTTGCCCATTTAAAAAAATTCAGTTGTTCTTATTGTTGAGTTGTAGGAGTTATTTACTAGACGCTTACCAGATAAATAATTTGCAAATAATCTCTCCCATTCTATGGGTTGTCTTTTCACTTCTTGATAATGTCTTTTGACAGAAGTTTTTAATTTTGATGAAGTCAAATTTATCTATTTATCCTTTGTTTTCCTTTGCTAGTTTGTACTTTAGGCAATTCTAAGAAGCTGTCACAGAATCCAAGGTCACAAAGATGTCTATGTCTGTTTTCCCAAAGCAGTTCATAGTTTAGCTATTATGTTTGAGTCTTTTATCCATTTTGAGTTCATTTTTGTATAGAGGGTGAAGATGGGGTCCAACTGCACTCTTTTAAATATAGCACAGTTTGTCCTAGCGCCACTTGCTGGAAGATTATTCTTTCCTTATTGCATTCTTTCCTTAATATACAATTACAATGGGGGAAAAATTACAGTTCCCAATCTACTTTAGGCCGTACTGAAATTTAACTGTGAATATTCTAAGTGTTAGAAGAAAAATAAACTAACTTCTATTAAATAATACCTCCCTCTCAGTGGTCAGTAAAATATAGTGCCACGTTTTATTTATTTATTTATTTTTTTGAGTTGGAGTCTCACTCTGTCTGTCGCCCAGACTGGAGTGCAGTGGCCGCTCCTGGCCACCGCAGCCTCGACCTGCTGGGCTCCGGGGATCCTTCCGCCTCAGTCTTCCAAGTAGCCGGAATTACAGGCACGTGCTACCACGCCCGGCTGATTTTTTGATTTATTGTAGAGATGAGGTCTTGCTGCCCAGGCGGGTCTCGAACCCGCGGATTCAGGCAATCCACTCACCTCAGCCTCCCAAAGGCGCGGGATGACAGGCTGAGCCACTGAGCCCGGCTGCACCACATTTTTTATAGCAACTTGTTCTTGGTTTGGTTTGAGGATAATGTCTGAAAATCTAGTAGACAGAAACATGACTTAAGTTCTAATAAAATCATAATGCAAATTAGGATGAGCAAACAGTAAAGCAGCGAGAGAATTCATCATTAGAAATTCAGAAAAGAAAATAGCGCATCCCAAAACATTTTTCAAAGTTCTGTTCTTACCCTCAAATACATGAAAATAAGAAAGAATAAAGTGAATCACCAACCCATTATACCACTGACATGACATACCTAAGAGATGTGTCCAGATGTTGCCTGTCTCTGTGTGTATTCTGAAAATGCTCTTGAAACAGGCCCGGAAAGAAGGCATAGGAGGCCGGTGTCCGTGTAAAAGGAAGTCATTATCCTTGAGCCAGTCTGGTAGTACATCATGAGGGATCACTCGCCACCGACCTTCCCATACCTGGAAAAAAGGTGTTATCAAACACTTCTGTGATTTTGGCTGTCAATCTGGGGACACTGACCTCAAACAACTACCTATTACTACTATTTTATAATGGGGAAAATAATTTATTTTTTAAAAGGCAAATATTTCAAAATGTATAATGTCCTATATTCTGAGCCCTTAGAAACGACTGATGAAGAAGACACTTTTTTTTTTTAGTTAGAGTCTCACTGTCGCCCAGGCTAGAGTACAGTGGCAGACTCATGGCAACTCCAGTATCAACCTGCTGGGCTCCAGCAATCCTTCCGCCTCAGTCTTCCAAGTAGCCAGAACTACAGGCATCCACTACCACACCCGGCTAATTTTTTATTTATTGTAGAGACGGGGTCTTGCCAAGTTGCCTGGGCTGGTCTTGAACTCCATGGGTTCAGGCAAACCACTCACCTTGGCCTCCCAAAGTACTGGGATTGCAGGCTGAGCCACTGGGCCCAGCCGAAGAAGACACTTTTTAAATGGACGGCTTTTCTTAGGAAAAGGAAAGCATAAGCAAATCTATAGAGCATGCCCTAAAAGCTCTGTTTCACTCTGGCTAAAGGTGGGGTGAGAGGTACAAAGTCCTACCCATACCACCCCCCCTTCATCCTGAACAACAGACTTTACCCCTGATAAATCCCTGTATTTTTATAAGATCATTTTAAAATTTAATATTCTTAGTGGAAAAAAAAGAACTATGTAAAATCAAACTTTTGTACCTTTTGCTAAAATCTCTCCCTCCCCCTTATTCTTTTTCTTCTATTCCCACCAGAGCAAATATGAAGCAAAGTTGTCAGAAAACCTTGGGTCTCTGACATTAATTAGTTGTATGAGTTTTAATTAACTATAAAATCTCCAAGCCTCAGTTTCTTCATTTATAAAATGAGGATAATAACAGTGCTTCAATTACTTCGTAAAGAAATTATGAGGATCAAACAAAATGACACAAAGCATCTCATAAATGAGTTAGCAACCCCTAGCATCCATCCCAAAGATGGTACATGATCAAACCATCCACAGAGGCTATCACCTGTCTGAGAGTTAGTGACTAACCCACCTTCCTTTGCCTGCTGGAAGGAGCGATGACACGGAAGGTTAGCCTTAGTTGCCCTTCAAGTCCCTTGGACCCCTTTCCTCCCTTTTTCCTGTGGCTCCTCCCCCATCATATTCTAGAGGAAAAGAAATCAGGGATTTGTTATCCCCTCCTCAGAAAGTCTGTTAACCCTGTCTGCACTCTGCTTCTTTTAATGTTTCTCAGCCCAGAGAGCTCGCAGCACTCAGATCACTTGATTCTGAACTAACTTGCTTCTCTAAGACGGAAAAATGTCAGGCACATGGTCTATCTTCCAGGTAATGTGGGCTTAGCAGTCCTTCCAGTCTATCACCCTACAAACAAGAATCCAGACTAGAGATCTGCAGGATTCACCTTCAGACAACGGCCTCTACCCCTGTCTTCCATGGGTCTTGTAACAAACAACATGGCTAAGCCACAGAACCTTGGTCTCTGCTATGCTGCTATGCAGGAAGAGTGCCCATTCCTTTCACTTCACAACCTATTGCCTGTTCTCATGGACATTTGTAAAAGAACAGATCCTCTGTGTAACATCTCCTCTATTTCCAAAGAAGTGATAACTAACAATTTTTTTTTTTTGAGTTGGAGTCTCACTCCATCGCCTAGGCTGGCCACCCCAACGTCGACCTGCTGGGCTCCAGGGATCCTTCTGTCTCGGTCTTCCAAGTAGCCAGAACTACAGCTGCATGCTACCATTTCCGGCTAATTTTTTGTGATTTATTTTAGAGACAAGGTGTCGCCAAGTTGCCTGGGCTGGTCTCGAACCCGCGAGCTCAGGCAATCCACTCACCTCGGCCTCCCAAAGTGCTGGCATTACAGGTTGAGTCACTGAGCACAGCCGATAACTAACAATTTAAGAACAAATGTGGCCTTCTTAATGCTCTATCAAAACTAACCCTCTCTCTCCCGTCCCACCCCCCCACGCCATCTTCCAGCTCAAAACTTGGAGCCTATGATTACTGGTGCTGATCTGGCCATTCCATGTGTGTTCCTAACATACAATAAAGTAATCTAAAATGCCAAAAGACTAATCTAGATTTCTAATGTCTACCGCTGATAGTACTACCACTTATAAAAGTTGCATGGCATATGAGAGGACATAACATGGATTTAATACGCCCGATGAGAAGCTACTTTTAACACTGCCTAAATCTCATGCTTTTCTAGCAGTTCACTTTGACTTACCATCACTAGCCAAGGGCAGAACTGGTTTCTCAGAGGCAGCTATTGATAGTTGCTTTACAACCCCCTCACCAGCTTGTTACTAATTTGCTTTTCCATTTCAAGTATTTGCCTCCACCAATAAGACCCACCTAATCAGCCCTTCCTAACCTTCATGACAGACAGACCCCACCACCATAGCAGCAATCATGTGACTAACCCCACCCCTCTGCCTGCTGTCCATCACGGTCTGCGCTTACATGCCCCCTTTATAATGATATGGAGCAGACCACCATCCAATCACCTTAACGACCTCTACCCCATCAAGGAGGAATGTTTAAAAGCATTCAAACTCGAGAAGTCAGCCACCAGTGCTTTACCAGAGTCTGGTGTGGCCAAGTGCTCTTTGAGCAGTGGCTGCTGCCATGTTTCTAAGCTCTGGCCCTCTCTCCTACCCTTGGGAGAGGTGAAACTCCTTTCTCTTTCTCTCCTCTCTCTAATTTACTTTCTAAATAAACTACCTTTTCTAATCTGGCTTCTGTGCAATTCTTTGCATCTTTCATGCGACATCGGATTGCACACCAGACACCCACACCCCCAACAGGTCTGACCTAACATTCTGGAGCCCCTGCTGGGAGTGTGACCTAACAATATATTCCACAGGATTTTATGGAGAGAAAAAAAGAGACCAAATACTGAATTTTTTGCATCTAATTTGAATTTGGGAAAGACATTATTGTTGAGATTAAACATACAAAATGTTGCTACACTATTCTACTTTGAGAGAATTTTATTTTCTAAGGAAGGGAAGGTAGAAATCAATCCTTAACACCTTCAAGGCAATTCACAATGTACACACAGTTCTGCTGTGATGCAACAAAAAGTGTTACTGTGCTATTGCACACAGACAAAAAAGTCATATGTTCTCTTTTTATATTCAGAAAGAATATACTGAGCTTCTTACTACTTATATGCATATGCATACAAACATTCCAGTTGTCTAAATACTGAGCCAGCCAGAGCTATACTTTCCTAATTATACTGTAATTAGTGACACATTCAAAAGATACCACACCCTGTATCTTTTGACTGTATATGGGAGTCATATACAGTCAGTAAAATGCTAACACAAACAGGTAACCTCTTTTACGCCCTTGAATAAAAGAATGTGATCACAACTTAGCCAAAGACATATTTATTTACAAGTTTGATAAAGATAATGTCTACCATTAAACATCTTAGCAATGGTCCACTAGGTTTGTATTAGACCATAAAATGTACAAAAATTTTTTTTGAAAAAAACAAAACCCACAGCACACATCCTAGTCCCACATGGGCCTACTTATGCTGGTAAAATAACAAAATAACAAAAATCAAAGTCTGGAAAAAAGAGAGAGAGAGAGAGAGAGAGACAGAGACAGAGACAGAGACAGAGACACACACACACCAAGACCAAATTTGGAAACTCTGAAGACTAAATTATTTTATTTTCCCTATTCCTGTAAAGAAAAGGTTTCCCAAAAGGCAAGGCCACAATACACCTCATTTTAAACTGTCTCTGTTTGCTTGCTTCCAACCCAAGAAACAGAATCCTTGTGTCACTAGACATGGCTAGTGTTCAAGTGCGGTCAGTTGCACTGACACAGCAGGGTAGAGCTACACTGGAAGCATATGTAATGGGTGCCTCTTCATTCTGCTCTCAGACAAACTGCTAGGGGATGTCTGCAACACTCATTTTTCTTCAGTAGCAGACAAATGCCCTGTCTTATTTATTCTGTCATTAGCTGTTAAACTGAAAGTTTTATCTGCTTCATTCTTTGCTCTCAGTTCAGAAAGGAGAGGCAGAAAGGCAATTAAAGTCAGCTATAGTATTCCACTGACCTATAAATATCAGCATTCCCTAAAGGCCCAGACATTAAATTTGAGACTTTAAGAGATTTCTTCACACCAAATTTGCTTTTTGAAAAACAAAATATATATTGTATACCCCTTTGTGCTAATTCTTCTGAGACAGTGATCACTAGAATAGATCTATTGTTTTGCTTAGCTTTTTCTTCACTAATTATCAAATACATTAAAATTGCCTAGGCTCTATGTAGACCCATACATGTTTATACTCCCACCAGACCCCGCTGGGCCCTCAGTCTTGGAAGAGATGCCCATGTTCAGATCATAAGGTTCTCTTCTCATCCCCTGGTTCAAAGTATAGTAATCTAAGTCAACTGACCCCAGTAATTTCCACATAATTGTGAATGTAGGGAAACCTAAAGTTAGTTTTCAGGATCTAAGACCATGTGCATAAAGTGTTTTGGCTTCATGAAACCCGTGAAAAGCTAAGGGTCACAAAACTTTATCTTTAATGAAAGAGTTCTCCAGAAATGTTTAACAAATAAATTTATATACACATATACATAGACAGACAGACTGACTTATGTTGACTAGATCACAACTGCTAGGGCCCTTACTGATCTGATTAATCAAGTACTTACAAACTTACCAGTATCTCTACTGTATCTGAGCAAGCAAACCCAATTGTAGTTACCATCTTAAGAAAAACAAAATCCCACAACAGGTCCTACGGAATCAGACAATGGGTTGGAAGATAGAGAAAGGCCACGCAGAGTGGCTCACGCCTGTAATTCCAGCACTTTAGGAGGCTGTAATGGGAAGTGAAGCCAGAGTTTGAGACCACCCTGGTCAATACAGCACCTCTACAAAAAATAAAAAATGAGCCAGACGTAGAGGCACGCCTGCAATCCCAGCTACTTGGGAGCCTGAGGCAGGAGATCACTTGAGTTCAGGAGTTCGAGGCTACAGTAAGCTATAATCACACCTCTGAGCTCCAGTTTGGGCAACAGAGTGAGATTCTGACGAAGGGAGGGAGGGAAGGAGGGAGGGAGGGAAGGGAAGGGAAGGAAGAAAGGGAAGGAAGGAAAGGAAGGAAGGAAAGAAGGAAGGAAGAAAAGACCTTCAAGACAGAAGATGTACCAGCTAAACTGAAATTGCCAGATGTGCAGGAAAACTGGAATATCAGTATCTCCAGAGCAGCTCAATTACCCATGGAATCCCTATAAAGAATGTTTCCCAAAGCAGACAAAAAATAGATTCAAGGAACCTGGGAATGCCAGTTTAATATCTCCAGGCATCAATGACCCAATTTTGTTTCATACTGTCTTATCTAAATCATCAATAAGACATTTACATGTTAGCATTTATCAGGAAAGGTTTGTTTCCCAACTGGATACCCTAGTTTTAGCAGAGCTTTATCATAACTGGGCAGGAAGACAAATGTACTGTGCCTTGAACAGGATTATGGTAAGAAGACTTTAAGAGAACTGACCTTAAGCTTCTGTCTCCATTTTGACACACACCTTCCCCAAAGCAAACCAAAGGTATTACCCTAAGGTACTACCTTTAAAAGTTTTGGTTTGGGAGGAGCTAACTATATAGCATCAGCCAAGTGTGGTAGCTCATGCCTGTAATCCCAGCACTTTGGGAGGCCAAGGAAGACAGACTGCTTGAGGCCAGGAGTTTGAGACAGCCTGGGCAACATAGCGGGACCTCATTTCTAATTTTAAAAAATTAGCAGGGTGGTGCATGCCTGTAGTTCTAGCTACTCGGGAGGCTGGGACAGGAGGATTGCTTGAGCCCAGGAGTCTAAGACTGCCATGAGTTATAATCGTGCCACTGCATTCTATCCTGGGTGACAGTGAGACCCTGACTCTTAAAGAAACAAAGTAAAAATAAAATAAATATATACTTATATATGTACACACACACATAGCATGAAAGTGGCAAGAAATTACAATCTTACCTTACAAACAAACTCCTCCATTCTTTCCATGGCATGGTGGGCTTGTAAGAGAGGGGACATGCCCATAAACCCCTCATCTTCCTGAGAAGCTTCGTCATTGCATTCATGTTCCTCAGCACCCTGCAAGGCAATCACAGGAAGGGTCAAAGACAGAGACTGGGGGCTAAATGGCAGATTTATAACGAAATTCTCTAATGGTCAAAACAAGGTCTCAGACAAGGATCAACAATACAATAAGTAAAGTTGCTTTATTACAGGATTATCAGTATTAAAAATGATCACCGGTTACCCAGTTCTCTGACAGATGCCTGAACTGTCTACAGCAGCAGCATCTGATGTGGTTTCAGCGTTGTCCCCTCCAGATCTCATGTTGAAATGTGATCCCCAGGATGGAGGCAGGGTCTAGTGGGAGCTGCCTGGGTCACCAGAGGGTCCCTCATGAATGGTTTGGTGCCCTTCTTGTAGTCATGAGTGAGTTCTCACGCTAACCGTTCACACCAAGGGCAGGTTGTTTAAAGGAGCCCGGTGCCTTTCTTCTCCCTCTTGCTTCCACTCTCACCAAGTAACATACTGTCCCCCCTGTCCTCCATGAGCAAAAGCTTCCAAAAAAACCTTCTGGAGGCCTCACAAGAAAGTGAGTAGATGTTGGCGCTGTGTAGAACCATGGACCAAAATCAATCTCTTTTCTTTAAAAATTACCCAGCCTCAGGTATTTCTTTACAGTAACACAAAATGGACTAATACAGTTCCTATGTGTGTTTCAGCAGCAAATTCCTGGAGTAACTTTTACTGGTTTGTTTTTATTTTAATAACAATTTTCATACAATACATAATATTATGCAAAATTGAGGAATTACTGAGGGGAAAATCTTCAAGAACCCCACCTGTATATACAAAATAAATAATTATAATACAACGTGGTAAGTGCTCTAGTAATGAAAGGAGAGAAAAACATTTACTAAACGTTTAAGATACGTCCAACACAGAGAAAGGGACTTTATATAGGCTATCCAACTTAATGCTGGCAACCACCTTACTAGATAAATATTCTTATCCCCATTTAACATATAGGAACATTAGGCAAAGAGGTTAAAGAAGTTGTCCAAGGTTAAAGCTGGTAAAGTAGAAAAGTCAAAAATCCAAAACTCATTGCCTTTCCATATTCTTAAGGAAATAATTTATTTGAGGAAACGGAGAAAGAAGTGACAATTTGGTAAGGTCTGAAGGGATAGAGAAGATAGATTGATAGATGATAGATATAGATAGATAGACAGACAGACAGACAGACAGACAGACAGGGAATGGTGACTCACGCCTGTAATCCCAGCACTTTGGGAGGCAGAGGCAAGAGGACTGCCTGAGCCCACGGGTTCAAGACCAGCCTGGGCAACTTGGGGAGACCTCGTCTCTACAATAAATTAAAAAATTAGCTAGTATGGTGGCATGTGCCTGTAGTTCCAGCTATTTAGAAGGCTGAAGCAGAAGGATCGCCTGAGCCCAGCAGGTCGAGGCTGTGGTGGCCATGAGTGTGCCACCATTCCAGCCTGGAGTGCACTCCAGACTCTGCACTCCAGACTCCGACTCAAAAAAAAAAAAAAAAAAAAAGATAAGGATAATTTCTGTTTCAGACCAAGATTTATACTAATTTAGACAGAATTATACTGTAAGAAGGGCAATGGACTGGGAAATCAGAAGACCTAAGTAGTAAAGGCAGTTCTACCACTAACATCAATGGCTCCTTACTAGAGGTCAATCTTCTCATTTATATCTAAAAGCATGAGTTCAAACAATCTCTACAGTCTTCCACATCTCTAAAATTCTGTGATTCTGTAACTCAGTGAATAATGACAGCACAAGAGAACTATAATTCTCTATCTAAACAAGGGCCTGCTAGATCAAAAGTACTGCTAACACGACTGCATGAAGAAATGAACTGATTCTCTACCTTTAATCAGAGAACTGGTAAGAATGAACACACAGAAGCTATAGGTAATCTACCACTATATGAACATGAACATATTTTAAAAGAAATTTTGAAATCTCATTTTCCTCCTCTTCACTTTTTCAAGATAGTAAATAGAGGCTATGATATGATGCAGCATGTGAAACATGTTACACATCCATCTCTGAATTTATTTTTAAAAAGGAACATTTTTCAAGAAAACTATCTTGAATCTGCTCTCTACTATTCCCACAAATAAAATGCACTCCCATCTTTGCTTACCTAAAACTTACCTATCCTTTAATAGTAGCCCATCATATTTCTTGTTTACCCTTCCCAAACTACTCCAACCTAGTGTTTCTCAGTCTTTCATTACCGCCACCCTCCAGACCAGGAGCATTTTTAGATTACTTCCTTCATCCCTATGAAATTTTAATAACACAGACATACAATCTGTTTATGCATTGTAATCCATTGTAGGACTCTAAACTGTAGTAACATTTAACAGTCAAACCCTCCACCTTACCAAGAACCAATTTTCGCCAGACTGCAAATTCCACCTAACCCATAGCAACTGCCTCCTCTTCTGAACTTATTTAGCACTTAAGTAAGCACCCCTCATTTGACAATATCTGATTACAGCTCATTTTACTGACTTATACTGTCTTATTTAGTGTTTGATAGATTTCATGTTTTTGTGTGGCACTTCCTAAACTAGATTTAAGTCTTTTTCCCCATGGCTCCCAGAACATACTTACACAGTGGCTAAATTAATAAATGCTTTAAAAGATTTTCAACATTAAACCAAAGAGAACTGTACCTAATTAAACATAAAACAAAAATGATAAAATTCCATTAAACTACAAATTAAATGAAAACTGAAAATAGGTAACAGCTTGAAATGATTAGGAGACTGACTTTACAATATAAAATTTTATATAAAATATAAAATAGTTCAAGTATGTATGCATATTCAACATGTAACTGACTCTTCACAAAAAGAAATAGAAACAAGGATTCAATTTTTATTCTCATACAAATTACATCAGCAGTTTCAAAACTACAAATAAGAATATAAAACAAAATAAGAGTTAAGTGTTTCCTGTACTATCAAGCATAAAACCTGATGAAATTGCAGTCTGAATCAATGGGACTAAGTAATCAGTGAGATTACTTACTAATCAGTAATTCTGATTATCAGGCTGAGTGCAGTTAGATACACAGAGGAATACGAATAGGAAAAGGTAAGCTTGCCTCACCCGACAAAGAAAGGACACTTGATCTACTATTACAGACTTATGTAAGGAAAAATGAGGAAAGGACGCCTCTTTCAACACACACTCGCTACTATATGCAACTATAAGAGAGAGAAATGAATGGTGCCACCAATCACAGGGAGGGAAGAAGAACAAGTTCTTTGCTCCTGGAAAAGGAACACTTTATGTCCTTAGCAGGATTAAGAGACGCTTTCTGAAAGAAAACAGAGGTACACTCAGAATGTAGAACGATGGTCTGGGATAAACACTAGCAATAAGCCAATAACAATGTCTATCCATTCATCAAACATTTACTAAGTGTGTTTGAAGAAAAAGTGGCTGATTGCTATAATGGATTAAGATTGAGTTGAAGTCACTTAAACCTCAACTATACTGATGCATTCTATAACCTTTGACAAGATTACATTAATTCTCTCTCAGTATCAGTTTCCTTATCTGTAAAATAGCTTTAATAATACTATACCTTCACTGCAGATGTTTGATGATCAATGATAATGAATAAATAGGAACTATCACAGGGCCTAGGATTCAGAAGGTAACAAATAAATAATGCCCTTTATTACTATAACAACGGGCTAGGAACTAAGTACATTAAGGTAGGTATTACAACCTAGTGGAGAAGACACATGTAAATAAACAACAACAGCAGTGAGCTTAGAGAACTGTAAGAATAAGATCTGATGCAGAGACAAAATAGTTAACTTTGGTACTGTGGAATTTCTTAGAAAGGTAACATCTAAAGCAAACCTTGAAAAATGTATAAAAGTTCACCAGATGTGAAGGGGAAAGGCATGAGAGGAAAGGTAATAATAGCATGTATGCAAAAACACAGAAGAAAAGGCATGATACAAAAAATATGGTAGTTTAGCATGACTGCAGTAAAAAGTATATGTGAGGCAGGCTCGGTGGCTCAGTCTGTCATCCTGCACCTTTGGGAGGCTGAGGTGAGTGGATTGCCTGAGCCCGCGGGTTTGAGACCCGCCTGGGCAGCGAGACCTCATCTCTACAATAAAATCAAAAAA